GCCGCCATTTGGCGAGGGTGAGATCCTGTCAGGGCCTGTCGCCCCGGTCCCTTGTGTTTCAGTCAGAAAAGCTCTCCTATCGTCTGGGCCCGCCGCTGAGGCGCTGCTCTGCCGTGAGGTGTCCGCCTGGCGAGGGGCGTAGGAAGGGAGCGTGGTGCTCCCTTGGTTGGCAAAATCCTTCCCAAGCAGCTTTCGATGGGACATTTTTTTTAGGTGCGTTTGGCCCCTTTTAACAAAGTTTTGTGACAGCCAGGTTGAAAATCCTTTTTGCGGCGTGGTCGTTACACCTTAATACATCTGACTCCCTACGTTTTGTCTCCCGAGGGACCCTTCAGTAGCAAACAAGGAAACCATTAACATCACCCTGAGGGACACAAGACAAACCCCGTTTTGCTGGTGCAGAGTCATTGTTAAGCCACAGATAAAATTCTGTGTGGCAAACCAGCTGTACGAAATGCAGATCCAGTGCGTCTGTGCTGGGGCGTTCATAGAACGGATGTAGCAAGGGGGGCGGAAGGAGAAACATAGCTGGAAAAGACGTTTGCAAGGGACTGTGGGACGCCGTCGTTCTCTTGCGCACTCCTTAACCTGTGTCATCCTTTTCTTTTTCTCTCCTGAATACAGAATTATTCAATTGCAGCCTGATATGTAACTGTGAAACGTTTTCTTGAATCACTTTCAGGTTCCAGAACAGCGATGGGGAGGTCAAATACTTGCGTGATGCTGAAGAACTGATTCGGCCAGAGCGCAACACGCTGATCGTAAGCTTTGCGGATTTGGAGCAGTTCAATCAGCAGCTCTCTACCACTGTTCAGGAAGAATTTTACAGGTAAAGTGTAGAGATTACCTGAGAGCTGAGCAACGCTGTGGTCTCAGGCCCGTAACATCTTACGTGTTATGTAAAAACCGAGAGGTTTATCTGCTTTCTGTATCCTGAAAACACTTAAGAATTCAAGAATTTTTTTTTTTTAATGGATCAAAAGTTATTTCTTAACGGATTCCTCTCTGGAAACCATTAGTTAACTAGGCAATTGCATTTATTGTGGTAAAGAAGTAGATGGTCAGTATGGGAATACAGAATAAACGCTAGAACTACTTACTCTGAAAATATTTTATTGAACCAGTCACTTATTTTGAGGATCTACTTCTTAATATAACGATAAAAGTGTCATAAAATGAGACTTAAAAAAGTCCATTTTCAGACAATAAAGCAAATGGCATTATTATGCAGTAATCTTATATTTAGCATATTTAGATTAGCTTTTGTGTGTTCTTACATAACGTGGCAGTAAAAGAGAACCTGGAAAT